TGACAAAAATAATTCAGTCTACCTGAAATTAACAAATAACGATAATAATATGATGGGAGCATCAATATGTGTTTCAAATTAAACATTACTTATATTTCAAAATATAAACAACTTGTTCCGGATTTATAAACATAATTGTTATTCCTTCTTCATTTAAATTCACGAAAAATTCGAAAAATGCGACGAAAAAGTGCTTTTTGGATAAAGCTTTTTTAATAAATTTTGAATCTAAACTTTTATGCTAGTGTTTGCGAAAAAGATATTCCTATCAATCGAATAAGAATATTTGAGATTTCAGATTGCAGAATGATTAAAAGAATAAATACTTAAAAATTTTAAGACTAAATGTAGCGGTAGGTAGATTAACATGTAATAAGTGAGACTTTGTACTTGTTTCCTGTAGTTTTTTAGACTTTGTATCGGCAGCTTGAAATTTATATGTATCGTTATTCTTTCGTATATACATGGACACATGCCAAGCTCGTATATGTTTATAAATTTCTTCAGTATTCGGGCGTTTAGCCGGATCTGAATCCCAACAACGTTTCATTAAATTAATGTAGCATTCGGGAGCAATTCCACTTGGAATTTTAGGCCGTAATCCATCACAAATATCAATTGTAAGGTGAATATCATCTGTTCTGCGAGAGAATGGAACATCGCCGGTTGCCACAACCCAAAGTATTATGCCAAAACTATATATATCCGCTGCAAATGTATACTCGCCACCACGTAAAACTTCTGGAGCAATGTATGCTTTCACTCCATAACGTACTTGATGCTTTTCTCGATCGAATATTGAATGAGATAATCCTAAATCCGCTATGAAAGTCCATTCCTCACCGTCATCAGATCCATGTTGTAAAATATTACCAGGATGGAGATCGCGATGAATAAAATTGTTTTGATGAATGAATCGCAAGCCGCGAATTATATCATATAAAATTCCCAGTCTTTTTTTCCAAGTGATGTTTGTGAAAATTTTTCTCAGATAACTTCGTAAATCTCCTCTAGCTGCGTAATGAGTTACTAGCATGTATGCACCGGTAGATGTTTCCTTAGTAATACCATAACAGTGCAAAATTCGACGATTAAGACGACAAGTGTAATGCGCTTCAAGCTGAAAATTATAAATCATTATGAATAATCAGAATTTTATTTAATCACAAAATTCATAATGTACTTTCTTACCTCATGCATTAAATGCTTGTGGTTTGAGAATCCAGGATTTAAACGCTTTAGCGCTATATTTGTTGGTCCAGCTCGTAGCCATTTATATTCTTTTTCATCAAAACCCCATCGTGGTCCCTCTTTCCATATTGCCGAGTACACCGTTCCAAAACCTCCTTTACCGATTTGTTTAACATCAGAAAAATGTTCATATGGGATGAATTCAAAATAATCACGATGATTTGATGAATCTAATTGTGTTTTCTGTATAAATTTATCATATTCTTCATTTTCACTCGTCCAATTACTAAAATTTTGTTTGAATTTTTTATGTTCACACGCGCTACACCAGTATAGAGCCTTCATTTCTGTGCTACAATGTTTGCAATAAAGTTCTTGTTCGTTTCGTTCTATCGTCGTCGACGACATATCATGAAGCAAGAGTGTAAAAACATGAAATTTTCATCTTACATGCATATTAAATATATAGTCAACTTACGATATACTGAACCGACGTGCAGATCCTATTGTAAACAATATAAATTTAATAGAATCTGCATGTCGAAAGTTGACTGTATATGTATATATCAATGTGTATAATCATATTGTCATCGTAAATGTCATAACGATAATGAGCATTATGGTAACATCTAGATCTGATATACTGCACATTTTGGTATGGTTACAAAAGCGTTACACTAATATGTACCATACATGTACTTTGCTCAATCATACAATACTTACTAACATAGGACGATATTTTATTGCCCGTACCATACTTGATCAGACAATACGTATTACCGTAGGGCCCATCCTGAACCCTTTTCCGAAGTAGTGTGATATACTTGTTATACTTTTCAACCCATACCATAATATTTTGCTTGAACTGACCATAAATATTAGCGTAATATTCGTTAAACATGTATTCAGGATATAGAGTATAGTAACATACTGTACCGAATCTGTTAAAAATAGTACAGTACAGAACCAAAATGTGTAGCGGTACAGTGTATACTCCAATTTAGCTAAGATACCTAGGTGATGAATTCAAAATAATCAATCGTATAAATTTATCATATTCTTCATTTCCACTTGTCCAATTACTAATGTTTTGTTGAAATTTATGTTCGCTATCTTGCACTTGTCACTTTTGTGCCACAATGTTTACATTCCTCACCGTCATCAGTTCTATGTTGCAAAATATTAACCAGGATGGAGATCGCGATGAGTAAAATTGTTTTGATGAATGAATTGTAAGCCACGAATTATATCATAAAAATTCCCAATCTTTTTTTCCAAGTGATTGCGAAAATTTTGCTCAGATAGCTTCGTAAATCTCCTTTATCTGCATGATGAGTTACTAGCATGTATTCACCGGTAGATATTTCCTTAGTGATACCATATCAGTGCAATATTCGACGACTATGACGATATTTGTAATGTGTTTCAAGCTAAAAATTATAGATTATTATTAATAATCAGAATTTTATCTTATCATATAATTCATCATGAACTTTCTTACCTCATGCATTAAATACTTGTAATTTAAGGAGCTCTGATTCAGACGCTTTAACGCTATATTTGTTGGCTCAGCTCGTAGCCATTTATATTCTTTTTCATCCCAACCCCACCCCATCATGGTCCCTCTTCCCATATTGAGGACACTGTTCCAAACCCTCCTTTACCGATTTGTTTCATATCAGAAAAATGATCATATGGAATGAATTCAAAATAATTACGATGATTTGATGAAGCTATTGTGTTTTCTGTATAAATTTATCAAATTCTTCATTTCCACTCGTCCAATTACTAAAATTTTGTTTGAATTTTTTGTATTCTGAATCAAAATGTTTGCTGGTTTCTGGTTCTGCGGTGCAAGCGTAGATTTCTTTAGATTCTTGTCCGTTTCGTTCCATTGTAGACGACGACGATATCATGAAGGTAAAAGTGGAAAATGTTATTATTTTTTCATCTTACGATATATAGTATTGTATATACATGTATACATACGTATATATATACATGTACGTACATGTATATGTATATGTATATGTACGTATATCGATATGTGCGCAATGTAATTATATTGTGATCCTTTTAAATGCCATAATGAGCATTATCATTATGGCATACTGGATATACATAACGTGGATTTCTCTAGATTCGTACGACGAAGACCATAAAAGTTCTGTTATCATTTTTAAATGTCATGTGGCAATAATAAAAATACTGGATATCGACTTCTAGGTGCTCTAAGCTATGTGTGAATTCAAGACATTAATAGTGTTTTCGTATAAATTTGTCATATTCTTCAAAGTTTGCTGAAATTTTTCTTGTTTACAAATATAGGTTCGTTCGCCATAACGTAGACAGATTTCTGTTTCTGCGATGATAGCTTATATTCTATCTTAAATGACAAATTATAAAAGTTTCAAAGTAAATTTCGCAAGGAAAGGTGTAAAGTTATTCTTGCATCTTCATCGAAACACTGAATATATGCATCGATCACAATTATATTGTTATCATTATTATTATTATCATTGATTTTTGTTTAATATAGTGTTCTCCATCCACCTGATATAATTCTTTCATTCTGATTATCTCTGGCCAGAATTAGAATCCGACATTTTAGCTGACACCTAAAAATCACCTGATTCTGGATCCTTAGCAGTGTATTGTACCTATATTGCTGTTGAAGTCTTCGATAATGAATTGGAAGTTAAAAAAAATTGTGTCAAAAATATTATGGGATAACTTGGGAATTAGTAAGAATTGCTTCGGAATTAGCGCAATTTCAGGAACTAGTTCGGAAAATGCGTAATAATTCCGTAGAATCGACAAAATTTTTTCATAGGGACCAGTAATTGGAGTACATTTAGTAGGCCGATTTTTGACTGTTTCCAATATACGTTCGAATTTAGAGAAGTAGCTTTTATCTTTATATCCTGCTTATCTGCAATAAATTGTTAAGAATTAAATCAGCTAGTTTACTTTGAGTCATTTACATCATTTTAAAAGCATCTTAAAGAATCGATTCTTTTTTTGTATGTGAGTTGTAATAACTGTCTGCTATGCATATGCAACTAAGCGGAGAAAAATGACATTCGGTTTAATTGAATGTGCGTGTATTTTAATTAACATTAATAACATGTAATAGTTTCATGCATTTATTGTCATCGGTCACTAACGCTTAGCGTTAGTTGTGCAGTCATTTTTTATAGTGACGTCACAGATTCACATCAATATGTGTTTCAAATTAAATTAAACTTTTACTTATATCTCCAAATATAAGCAACTTGTACCAGATTATAAACGTCATTTTTATTTGCTTCATTTAAAATCAAGAAATTCGAAAAATGCAACGAAAAAGTGCATTTTTGATTTTTTTTGGATAAAGGAAAAGTTTTTTGAGTCTAAAATTTTATGCTAATGTTTCGAAAAGATTTCGCGCTATCAATAACTAAGAATATTTGAAATTTCAGATTGCAGAATGATTAAAGGAATAAGTGCTTAGAAATTGTATATAAGACTAAATGGATGCGATTCTATATACATAATTAGTGATTCTGGTCGATAACAAAAAATCGACCGACCGACTATAGCCAAAATTATCGACCAAAGTTAGTCTATCGATTTTGTCTTACATTCCATATTAGCAATGATTCAGCTAACGACAACAATGGTAATGGAAAACTGGTGACTTTAACAGTAACTTGAACGGATAATTAAGATAACGGTAATCTTTTATTTGTTGGATATGCTTGCTTTTTAAACTTTTTAAATCGTTTTAAAACGTAATTAAAACTAAACGATTTTCTTTAAAAACTATATTAGTTTAAGTTGGAATAAGGATTAAAGCAATGTTGATTTTCCTTCAAAAAAAGTAAGTCATGAACTGTGTTCGGGTGGAGGCGGTTTCGCTTTTCAGTAACTACATTTCCAGCATCAGAAAACAAACGCTCAGATGAAACTGAGGTTCCCGGAATAGCCAATGACCGTCGAGCTTGCTGTGCCATTAAAGGGAGAGTTAATTGATTATCATGCCAAAAGACTAATGGGTTGTGTTTCTTATAGAGAGGATCAGAAAGATCATATTTCGGCATTTTATGCATGTCAAAATAAACCCTGAGTTCAGTTTCGACAGGACACATTCGGCAAGAAGCTTCTTCAAATAGCGAATTTAATAAAGAAGGTGAGTTATTTTCAAAAGGAGTTGTCGGATATATGTTCATCATATCTCTTCGCATTCGATATCATAATTCATTTTTTGTCAATTCAAATTTTTCAGATCTTTAAATCTTGGATCTAGCATGGCGACGACATATCCTTCTAATCCTGGTTCATTCCAACATTCTCCAAAAGATAGCTCAATTTCATCACGTACATTATGAACAATTGGATGGGTAAGAGTGTGTTTTTTTGAAATAAGTGTTCTTGTAAGACTTTAACCAATGGCAACATCATTGAGAGAGTATGATAATGATCTCCACCCATTATAGTTGTGACATGCACAAAAGGACTCAATAATTCAACCAATTCCTGAATGTTTAACAAATCTTCATTATTGAGAAGCAACTTGTTCATTTCTTTTGCATCATTTCTAACTTCTCTTTCTTTGTCTTTTGCTAGATTTTCTTGTAATATTTTCGTAGCTTCATAAAGATCAAGTAGTCGACTTAGCAATAGATAAGTTGAATTCCATTGTTTGCTTTAGCCATTTCAAGTTGTATTAATTGTAATCATTTTCAGTATTTATCTCTTCCAGCAAGAAATGCATTCAGAGCTTTTGCGTGGCTAATTAAATCAGTTACTTCCTTCAAGTCATCCATAACTTCAAGCTGAATGGTATGAGCAGTACATTGAATATATAAGATTTCAAAATCTCTCATTGCTTTCATCATTGAGCTAGCATTATCCATTACCCCTGCTAAACATTTGTCATTCAATTCCCATTTTGCTAGTTCTTTGTGCAGACAATCTTCAATGTATATGGCTATGGAAAGCTAGCAATTGTAAGTAAAGCTTTGTACATTTCGAATTCAGAAGTGAGCCAATGTATGACTTATGTGCTTTAGTCCACAATCAGTTGTAAATACACAAGATTCCAAAGTATTATTAACGAGATCTTTTAAACAATTCTCTGAATAGTTTACTGCTTGGTGTAATTTCTGTTTGAATATATCTTCACTGGGATAATGAAATCGTGAATCAGTTTCATATAGAATGTCTTGGAATCGTTCACTTTTTAAGACATTAAAAGATTGCATATCATTAACTATCCATGTACGAGAAGTAATCTGATCTTGTTTTTCATTTGATAATGGTACTTTATGTTTAATTACTTCTTGTAAAGTTAGTTGTGAAGGATCTAGTTGAGCTGGTTGTGATTGTATTGATAATATGGTATCTAGCTGAACTCGCATTGAGGATGTTGCACCACTTAATGGTAATAAAGATCCATTTTTGTCAAATCGATGTTCAGCTCGAAGATGAGCAGCCAAATTAGTTGTACTGGTTTTGAGTTCAAAAAAACGCGTATATTGCTTGAGGACATCATTGATATTACTCCAAACGAGACATTTGATTTTTTTGTTGAGTTTATCTTTCTTCATGTGATCCCATACCCAACTTCTTCCTGGTTTAGATCTTTTATTAATGTTGATATTCGGTCATATAGGTTCTGGAGTTTGTATAATTGTATCTTGAATAGAATTAGCCATTGGCTCTTCTTCTAAAAACGCGTCATGAATTATTGGTGATGGTGATGAATATATAGGTGTTATTCTATCATTATATTGATCTGTTTCGTCTGTTTCAATAATAGTTGGTGAAAATTCACCATTAGAACTATTATAATAACGAAAATTTTGTTGGGACATTTGACAAAAATTACGTGTCAAAATTTCGTGTTCTTTATCATGATATATCATTTAATCATGATCTATCATTTCTTTATTTTTTTAGTGTTATACAAAAAACCGATCAGCCGATTGTTTCAAAATCGACCAACTATGTCGAAAAATCGACTATAGTCGATTTTTCGATTATCGACCAGGATCACTATATATAATGCTCTTGATATCGATATAGGTAAAACGCTAGGTGGATTAACATGTAATAACGATAGTGAGACTTTGTATTACATGTACTTTTTTCCTGTAATTTCTTAGACTCTGTATCAGCAGCTTGAAATGTATATGTATTATTCTTTCGCATATACATGGATACATTCCAAGCTCGTATAGGTTTATCAATTTCTTCAGTAGTCGGGCGTTTAGCCGGATCTGAATCCCAACAACGCTTCATTAAATCGATGTAGCATTCGGGAGCAATTCCATTTAGAATTTTAGGTCGTACTCTATCACAAATAGCAAATGTGAGATGAATGTCATCTGTTCTGCGAGAGAATGGAGTTTCACCGGTTGCCATAATCCAGAGTATCATGCCAAAACTATATATATCTGCTGCAGATGTATACTCGCCACCACGTAAAATTTCTGGAGCAATATATGCTTTCACTCCATAAAGTACTTGATGCATTTCTCGATTGATTGTTGAATGGGATAATCCTAAATCCGCTATTACCAGGATGGAGATCGCAATGAGTAAAATTGTTTCGACGAATGAATCGCAAGCCGCGAATTATATCATATAAATTCCTAATCTTTTTTCCAAGTGATGTTTGTGAAAATTTTCCTCAGGTAACTTCGTAAATATCCTCTATCTGCATAATGAGTTACTAGCACGTATTCGCCGGTGGATGCTTCCTTAATGATACCATAACAGTGCAATATTCGACGACTCTGACGACATTTGTAATGCGTTTCAAGCTAAAAATTATAAATCATTATAATAATCAGAATTCTATCTTATCATATAATTCATCATGAACTTTCTTACCTCATGCATTAAATGTTTGCAATTTAAGGAGTTCTGATTCAGACGCTTTAGCGCTATATTTGTTGGTCCAGCTCGTAGCCATTTATATTCTTTTTCATCCCAACCCCATCGTGGTCCCTCTTTCCATATTGCTGAGTACATTATCCCAAACCCTCCTTTACCGATTTGTTTAATATCAGAAAAATGATCATATGGAATGAATTCAAAATAATCACGATGATTTGATGAATCTAATTGTGTTTTCTGTATAAATGTATCAATTCCACTCGTCCAATTATTAAAATTTTTTATGTTCACACGCGCTACACCAATACAGTCTTCATTTCTGTACCACAAGGTTGGCAATAAAGTTCTCTGAATTCTTGTTCGTTTCGTTCTATCGTCAATGACATATCATTAAAGTTTGTGGAGCAAAAGTGTAAACTATGAAAAAGTTATTATTTCATCTTAAAATTTTATAAAAATGCGCTATACATAACGATAACGATCAATAATATTGTTATCATTTTAAATGTCATAATGGCCATTATCATAGTCACTTGATAAACCGGGTTTATCAAGAGTGACTAATGCCATTAACATTAACATTGTACGTAGTTATTTATTCCAAATACAGTAATAGATAATTTTAGCGTTAGTTGATTTCTGTCTGTCTGAATTATTCAAATGCGCATTACCATTATGCTAAAATTGATGGTAGTTGAACATCAATTTTAGGCATTTACTAATTTTCATCAGAAGTTTTGATTGGATACAAGTAATTTCCATCACCGATTGGTTGACGGCACAACGGGTCTTCTAAATCAACCAATAAAAATGCATAAATTTTTGATCAACCCGGCAAAACAAATCCGTCACAAGAAAATTAAAAAGGCGAATAATGTGAAAAATACGGAAAGCGAATGGGTAAACCTGGCTTGAAGCATTAATAAAAAATGTCAGGAAGACAATTTTGTGTATAATCTTTTCTCCAGTCCTAACCCTAACCTTTAATCCTAACGTTAAAACTAACCGTTAATATCCTCAACCAATCAAAACTTCGGGTGAAAATTAGTAAATGCCAATTTTAGCCAATGAAAATAAAGATGGGTTTTTATTTCATAAATGCGTTACCGTTACGTTACTCGCTAAATTGTCTTTAATTATGCTAAGACGAGCCAGTGACGGTAATTTAGTCGATTATTTGTGTAATGAGTTACTGTTTTCTTAGCATTAGTGATAGAACAAAATTTGTAATATTTTCTTACCTCATGCATTAAATACTTGTGGTTTAAGAATTTCCAATTCAAACGCTTTTGTTGGTCCAGCTCGTAGCCATCTATACTCTTTCATTCCAACCCTATCGTGGACCCTCTTTTCATATTACCGAGTACACAAACCCTCCTTTACCGATTTGTTTAATATTCATATGGGTGACTCGATGAATTTAATTGTGTTTCCTGTTTTCACTTGTCCAATTACTAAAATTTTGTTTGAATTTTTCATTTCTGTGCTCTAATGTCTGCAATAAATTTCTCTAGAGTCTTGTTCGTTTCGTTCTACCGTCGACGACGGTATATCATGAAAGTTTGCGAAGCAATGTGTAAAATATGAACAAGTTATTATTTTTATCTTAGAATTTTATAGAAAATGAGCTATGTATAACGATAAAACCATCATGATATGTACATGTAGTTACATAATAATAACGGTACATAAACGCCATTTAACATTATACCAAATACATGTAGCGGTAGTAATCAATTTCTATTGAATTGTTCATGTTTTTAATTATGCTAAAACGAGCCAGTAACGGTAATTAAGTCGATTATTTGTAGAGTTACTAGTATGTGGACGTAATACGTGCAATTACAGTAGAACGAAATTTGTAATACTTTCTTATCTCATGCATTAAATGCTTGTGGTTTAAGGATTTCTAATTTAAACGATTTAGTGCTATATCTGTTGGTCCAGCTCGTAGTCATTTATACTCTTTTTCATTCAAAATCTCTACCGATTTGTTCAATATCGATATGGGATGAATTCAAAATAAAGATTAACTATCGCTATTTATTATTCTATAACGAGAATGGTCATCATGACATTTAACGTTAAATGTAAAAACAAAAGTTATTATTCTCACCTTAGAAAAATTTTATTATAACAGAAAATATTATGCATTTTCATTTTAGCACACTTTTGCCTTGCAAAATTTACTTTGAAACTTTTAAAATATAACGATAAATTATTATGAATAATCAGAATTTTATCTAATCATATAATTTACAATATACATGTATTTCCTCACTTCGGTGTGTTACAGTCGTGGCCAAAAGTATCCGACCCCCCCAACTTTCCGTAAATCATGTGTAACGCACCAAATTTTTCCGAGCACAAAGAACATTATGGTAAGATAGGATCGGATATCACATGATCTGACATTTTTTTCGCCATCACTTTGTTACTAATTTAGGACGTATCGGTATATATATACGTAATATTTTGATCTCCAGTGATCCGATTCGCATTGACTAGAAAAATCGAATGGTATATATATACAGTGGCTCACACATGTAACCGAACACGAAAATTAACTTTCTATATAGCATTTTTATTTCCATGACTATTAGTT